GTCCCAAGGTTGGGGTCTAGTATTGAGACAGAAGCGGAGGCTTTGAAGTGGGCAGTAGAGAATATGGTGAGGTTCGGATAAAAACGTGTAGTCTTGGAGACAGATGCTATGCTCCTCACCAAGATGATCAATGGCGAAGAGAAGATATGGCCAAGGCTTCAGCCAACAATGCAGGTCATCTTACAGCTTCTGTCCCAAATACCTGAAGTAGTAGTGCAGTTTCATCCAAGGAGTGGTAATAAGGCTGCTGACAGGATAGCAAAGGAGACTTTTACTTATATGTCTAATGTCCCTAAGTTATATTCTGTAGAGCCAAAATGGTTAAGATTTCATGTGAACAATGATGTGTCTTTGTATAGAGAATATGTTGAATGTTGAGTTAAAAAAAACGACTCCTCATCTTTCTACTTTACCACTTCACTACTACTTTTCTACTTGATCTTGAAACCATTGACAACATGATATTCCTGCAAAAAAGGCCGTAGATACCTCCTCACAAAGATAAACTACTTCTCGTATATTTTAGAGGTGATCAACTCCGTACACAATAATCTATATACCAGTTTTCCCAAAAACTATTTGCGTTGACAAAAAAATAGTTTAAATTGTATTTAAAAGTAAATAAATCAAGGGATTAATTAATTTAGTGAAATATTATACTAATGAGACAGGTTTAGGTTGGTTTTATCCTGTAAAGACAAACATGCTGAATTATTGTTTCCTACGAGAGCTGTCAGATGGGCGAGCTATCCAATACGCTTCCATGTCCAAATAGATCTGGGCTTCAAATAGTCATACTCATATTTCTATATGGTTTTGAATGGTCAAAAATAAAAGACTAATGGGTTTATGGATGTTAGTGGGTTTCGTTATTGTGGACGTGGGCAAACTAATGGACAAAAAAATTCTAGGATTTGTCATTTGGGTAAAATTGGAAAAGTCATTTCACGTGTCACGATTTCTCCGACACATGTTCTTGTAATCTCTTTTGGCGAATCCTTTGGTGATTTCTCCAAATTGGACTTTGATCATCTCTCTGATGGACTCCAATCATCTCTCCGGTGGTCTCCAAATCTCCATAGACTCCGCGCTCCATTCTCTCGTCTCGTCTCTGTTCTCTCATCTCGTCTCTGTTCTCTCATCTCGTCTCAGTTACAAGGTTTGAGGTTTCTACGCTTCAAAACTTATCTCTGTTTATCTTTTGATCTGATATGATATGGGTTATAGATCGATGAGTTGAGGAGCTCATCTGTTTGATGGTTTTATGAGTTTACTTTTTTTCGATTGGAATGATTTTGCTCTAACTGTGTTTGAACTTTGATGAGTTTCGCTTACTTGTTTGATATGTTTTTAGATATTGCTTGCTTGTTCATTTGAGATGGGTTTACTGAGCTTTCATGCTTTTATTGTTTGAGCTATGGTAGATAGATCCATGAGTTAAACTTGTTTGATGGGTTTGCTTTAATTGTTTGATGAGCTCAGCTGATGGTTTGATTTGATCTTGCCGAGATGATATTGATGGCATATATGTTTCCCTAAAAGATGATATCTTTATGTTTTCTCTGAGTTAGCCTATGTATTATTTTCTTATTAGTTTATAGGCTGAGAAGTATTTGTTTAATGGGTCTATGTTGTGTTAGTACTAATCTTAGTGAACTCATACGCATTACATTTATGATGAGTGAAGCTGCATTGTTTGATGAGTTTACTGATAAGCTAAGTTTGTGTATTCTGATCCCTTTACACATTGTTTTATTTGTCTGTTGAGTTTTAGTTTACTTGTTTCATTGTAGAGTTTGTTTGTCTGTTTTTTTTCCTGTGATAGTTTTTCAGATGAAGCTTAAACAGAAAGTTGATTGAGTACAAAAGAATAATTTAGCTTTAGTTCTATATTTTCTTCTCGCTATAACTTTTTTTGTCGTCAGATTATTCATTGCTTATCTCTAGTCCTTTATTCTGCTCTGAGAGGCGGACATTGTTTTGTTTATTTATTGTTTATATGTGCTTCATTAGTTCATTTTTTTGTTTACATGTTATGTTGCTACGTTTTAACTGGTTTTATGTTTCCTTGTTTCAGGATAGATAATGAGGATACTCTGAACCTAAAAAACACAGACTATATGAGAGGGGATGAGCTGATGGATCAAAACTCAGATGGAGATGAAGCATTAGCAATGGATGATACTCTCATGAGCACAGTTGAGAAACACATCAAAAGAGGCGGTAAATGCAGACACTCTAAATTCTGGAAGCATTTTAATATTATAGGAGAGAAGTATCCGGATGGTAGTAATGATACCCGGTGCAAATTCTACTAACACAATTACTGCATAAACCTGCGTAGGAGTGGAACCTCAGGTCTTTTGCGTCATATGAAAGTATGTAGTTTGAATCATGTTCCTTGTCACCTGGATGTAGTAAGAAGATAGATCAGCTTGTGTTTCGTGAGATTATTGCAGTAGCTTTGATTGAGCATAACCTGCCATACATACTCCTTTGTGAAATATAGAAGAATTAGGGACGCATTTCATTATGTGAATCCTACTATAGATTTCTGGTGTAGGAATACAGTTGCTAGCGACTGGTTGAAGATATATGAGAGGAGAAGCTGAAACTGAAACAGAAGTTAGATAGAATTTCAGGAATGTTTTGCTTAACAACTGATCTGTGGAGAGCTTTTACAATCAAAGGTTATATGTGTGTGACGGCTCACTACATGGATGAGAGTTGGAGTATGCAATCGGTTATTCTAGACTTCTTTTCCTTTCTTGCTCCTCATAATGGTGGTGCTATAGCTATGAAGACTTTGGACATTTTGAGAGAATGGGGTCTAGAGAAGAGATTCTTCACGGTTACTGTGGATAATGCATCATTCAATGACAACATGCAATCGGTTCCTAAGAGGCATCTTCGAAAATAATTGGTCTGTAATGGAGAGTTCTTTCGCGTAAGGTGTGTTGCTCACATCTTGAACTTGATAGTTCAAGATGGTCTGAGTGTGATAGAGGGAGCTCTAGAGAAAATAAGAGATAGTGTAAAGTTTGTGAAGGTGAACGAGTCTGGAGATAGACTCTTTCAAATCTGTGTAGAAACAATGGCTATTGAGGATAAAGAAAAAAGTGAGTTGCCAGGATTGGTTATGGATGTAGCAACTAGATGGAACTCAACTTATCTTATGCTAAGTAGAGCCCTAATTTGTAGAGAAGCCTTCCGCAATCTTGCTGAAGTTGAGGCAGCTTATCAGATCTGTCCAAATGAGTTGGAGTGGGAAAGTGAAAGGTTGATTTGCGATTTCTTGGCTCCATTTACAGAAACAACCAATCTAATTTTGGGTTCTTCTTCAATTGCGAACCTATACTTTATGCATGTTTGGAAGATTGAAAATTGGCTGAGAGCAATTGAGTTTAGTGGGGATGATGTAATTTGTGAGATGGTGGTTTCAATGACGGTCAAGTTCAAAAAGTATTGGGAGGATTATAGCGACATCTTAGCTATTGCTGTTGTGCTTAATCCAAGACTAAAGTTCAAATTTCTGGAATATTGCTACACAACTTTAGATGCAGCCACAAGTAAGTCGAAGATGGATAATATTTAGAAGAAGATGAAGAAGTTATTTGATGTTTACACGAAGAATCGTGGCTAGAACTTCAAGATCAAACTCTTCAGCATGTACCACTTTACCAGGAGATGATGTAAGCACTTTACTTACTTTCCTTGTTCAAATTGTTGTTGCTGTGGGTTAGATAGGCTCTGAGTTTTCAAGTAATCTGAGTTTTTTGGTCTGAGTTTGCACGAGTTTTACACTTTCTTCTCACAGAATGTGGTGATAGTGGAAAATCAAGCTTGGATAAGTACCTAGAAAAACCAGCTATAGACATGATGGCCTTCAATAGTATGGATGTTCTATCTTATTGGAGAGACAATGCTAATCGTTTTAAGGAGCTATCATCAATGGCATGTGGCGTCTTGAGCATACCCATCACCACGGTTGCTTCAGAATCGTCATTCTGCATTGGTAGCCGTGTTTTGAACAAATATAGAAGCTGCCTTCTTCCTTCAAATGTTCGAGTACTGATTTGCGTAAGGAATTGATTAAAAGCATGTGAGGCTTTAGATGGTAAGTTCTTTTTATCTTATATAACTTTCGCTTTCTTTCTCTCAGTTTTGCTTCGGTTGCTGATAAGTGATAACTTTAGTACAAATGTGATTGAAAGTGATAGTTAATTAACTGTTGGATTCTTGATATGATTTTAATGCTATATTGCTCTTTTGCTTTAGTTTGATTATTAATCTAAAGTATTTGTTAGTCTTCTTTGTGATATAATTAAGAAGCACTCAAGATGTGTTTATTTGTTAGTCTTCTTTGTGTGTATGTTAACATGATGGCAGCGTGTGTGCTTATTTCAATCGTTTGATATATTTGTTTATTCTGGTACACGTTTAACTATAGCTCAAGTGATGATAACCACATTTGAAATCGGATCTGTATAGGTGATGAAGAGGATTTGGAACTCTTAAGGAAGTTGAAGATAAGGAAATAGCTCAAGTCAGAATTCATAATGACATTTGTAATCGGCCTCTTTATCTTGTTATAATGAACTTATCACTTATGTTATTAAATAAGTACTTATGCTTATGGAGTTCACACTTATGAGTTAAGGAATTGTGTATGAACTTATGCTACTTGTATGGTTTTTTTAAGTTTATGTATAGTTATACTTGTGAATTTATAGATGAACTTGTGTTATGAATTTGTATTTGTAGACTTATAAACTAAAAATTTTAATTTTTTTATATGGTCCATTATGGATCTTATGGAATCCCATGTAAATATAGATTTTTGTGGGTTTAATCTTTAATGGATTATGGGTTAATGGACATGGACTAGCACATCTGACCGCTCTGTTTCCCAATTTTTCCCTTGAATTTATTCATGTCTACTACGGTTATAATATTGAGAGATTCTGAGATTTTGCTAAGTCCGTACAAAATGACGTCAATGGCTTAAGAATTTTTTTAGCGAAAAGGTTGAATGTCTCAGCTTATTTGATTTAAGACTAAGACAAACAGAGAAGGTCCAGCCTGGCGTAGGTTGCCATAACATGTAATAATGAGGATATTGAAATAAAGCAGAGTAAGATGCTTCCCTTCAGCAAACAGAGATAGATGCAACACCCAAACCAACAAAGATTCATCTCACGTACCTAAACTCTCTCAAGCATGCACCAGTATCCATTTACAGAAAGGAAAAGAAAAAGAAATCCAGTATGTTTTTTTTGGTGGAATGTTCTTGCAGAGTATGAAGATTTGGTATTAAGAGCCATCCATGGTAATATCATCGCCGGTAGTTGGCTTTGGTGGAGCAGCTCCAAAAGTGAACCCTTGAGGAGGGATACTTGAAGCAGGGGATGAAAATATAGAAGAAGCAGGTCCACTGTTGAACACAGGGACTTGCGCTTGATCATTATTAACCTTTGGGAAACCAAACCCAAATGTTGGAGGTTCATTGATACTCATGGCCGACATCATTCCTTCTCTAGATCCGAATACAGCCTGCTCAAACGCTTCCAGTTGTTGGTAGAACTCTGTGCGGAGAAAAGAAAAGCACATGAGCAATTTCAATTGCTTAAAATCATAATTAAAGTGTGAGTTAGTACTTGCCTGTGGATATGTCAGTTGTGGGTCTCCGTTGCTTAACCCACTGATGACTCTCAGCGAGTCTCCACCCTTTACGTTTCATCAAGTACGCAATAACAACCGCTGGTGATCTGCCAAATAATAAAGGTTTGAAATCTATAAGCACTGAGAAAAAAAGACTCTATGGGTGTTACTAGTGACCAAGAGAATGAGGAAGAACATTAAATTCTTTATCATTCCTAAAAAATAAGTAACAATTTTTCTTTTTCATTCCTATTCATTCTTCTTTTTAGAGAATTATGGAACAAAAATGTTCCTCACTAAATTTAGGAAGAATAATCATTCTTCTTTATACCTATTCGTTTCTAATGTTCCTATAATGGTTACCTATAGGATAAGCAACTATCCAAGCATGATTTATAGTTGGGAGTATACGAGAATGGTAAATGATAGTCACCTGCTTTTCCCTGACATGCAGTGCACAAGAACACGTGCCTTGTCCTTCTCACATTGGTCTACATAGTAAAATCAAGCAGAAGATGGCGAATTAAAACCCAAATACTTTTAAATAAAAAGATCAATGCTTTTGAGGTAGATATATGAATCAAACCTAAGAACTTGATAGCATCATCAAATTGTAAGACTTTTTCATCAGAGAGGACATGATAAGTGAATGAATTCCTGTAGAGGTTCTGGCACATAGGAACCGTCTGTTCGAAAAAAAAAGAGAAAGCAGAATCAATACCAATAACATTAATCACGAAGTAAGAGAAAGCAAAACTATATAATCTTGCTTCGGTGTTAAAGTTAAATACCCTCAAGTAGCAATAAAGCTTAGATCATTGAAGATTCATATACTTCAACAAACCAATTCAATAACTCGGTTAAGACTAACTAAACCAATTTAATGATCCAATTGAGATAAAACCAATTAAACACAGCTAAAACTTACAACCCTTTTAACCTAATTAAGCTTAACCCTAATTACGAATTGAACAGATACTCACATTAAGAACGCGAGAGATTCCCTGAGTCTTGAGAAGCTCAGAGCGAGAGGCGTTGTCGTAGCTCCCTAGGAAGAGAAACTCCGGCAAGATCTCGGAGGGAAAAGCGCTGACGTGGACTTGAGGAGGCGGCACATCGGAGGGATCAGGCATACGGTGGCCACAGATTCCACAGACTTCACCTTCCTCGTACTTGTGGTAATGCCCACAGAGCGAACAAGGGTTCTCCCTCTCTCTCTTCCTCATAATTCCAAACCTAGATCCGATTTACTGATCAGATTCGATTAGGGTAAGCAAGAAGACGAAGGTTTTGAAGGGAAGGATCGGGGAAGAGTGAGACTTGAAGGAGAGTTTGCGAAGAGAAGAGAATAAAATATTACAGGGCTTTTGTCTTCTTCTTCTCTGACTCTGAATTTACGCCTAAATACGGTTCTGGTAGAAACATGCCACGTGGACTTATGTAAATCTAGTAACACTTATGTAGTTCTGTAAGAAAAGTAAAGTTTGCCTTTTACATGTTTACAAACTTTTCCTTTTTTCCTTTTTCTTTTCTTCTTTAACTTTTCTGTTTTTATCTGAAAAAAATTAATTATATTTTTTTTTCTGGAGAAAATCAGAAAAATAGAAAGGAAAATAAAAAAAAGTTTCAAAAGTGGCATTCCTTTACATTATACCTTAAAATTATTTAATAAGCATATTAAATTGTTAAGTTAAATTATATCACAAAAAACCTTCTAACTTGATTTACTTATTCGTAAGTTAACTGTGGCTTATTTGCCTATAAAATAACTTGATTTTTTAGTTGTTTGTTAATAAAATTAATTAAAATTAATTAAAACATGAAAAATAAATAAAACGTAAAAAATAAATAAAAATTTTAAAATATTCTTTTTAAAAGTCCAACGATTTTTTAAAATAAAAAACAAAGAAAGTAGATTAACATGGTCTTGTGTGTTATGGTTTATTTGGAAGAAAAAAAACTGGAATGATTTCTTGTTTGAGATTTCTAAATTCTTCTCATTGGAAATGATTAAAAACACTCATGAAGAAGAGATCTAGGGGTCTATGGCTCAACAAACTGAGGTTGAATTTGAGAGGATGGAACAAAGTGGGGTTTGGAAAGTCAAGAAAGATTGGGAGGCTCCTCTAGCAGACTGACTCAAATGTATCAGTGGTATGGAGTGGCACAAAATCAATGCATTGGTAGATTTTGTGTGGGTCGTAAGAGATGCTAAATGATTGGTTACATAACAAAAGACGAGCATGAGTCATACATTATCAAGTTTGATTCAAGTTACAAGTATTCTTTACTCATAAGTCATAATAGAAGTGAATTTTTCGATAAACAGCATCTACTTAATACATGAATCCATAGTTAATAGATAGAGTTGATAACGGTTTGGGACACTTTTTTATCTTTTTTGACACATTGAAACACAAGTTGCCTTTGGCACACTTTATTGTTATTCTCAGCTCAATTCGGACAGTATTACCCTTTGCTTCCTTAACTGAGACAAATGTTGAGTTAGTGATTTTAATATATTTATATTGTTCCGTTGAAAACGACAGTACATACTTGTGCTTTCCTTGTGCTTTCTGTTTCTTCAGAGGAGTAATAAATTTTTGTTTGTGAGGAATTAGGAGATTTAACAGTCGTCGGATGGAAGCAAATCTAAGGGTTAGGGTGAGCTGAGGTTTAGAAAGTAGGTATGATAATAAATGCTTCATTACTCTCCTTCTTCTCTGTTTTCTCGAAAGCATTTTTGTATCTGCAAGTATCCCTTCCTGTATTTGTAAGCATTTTATCAGTCTATTTTGATTTTAGTGTCTCACAGACTGACATTCTCAACTTTGTTTAGGGATTCAACGATGGAGGAACATTGCATGGTATTAAGCGGTGATTGGGTTTTTGGAGAAGGAGGGACGTGGGATTTTGTCATCGAGAAAAATCAGATGGGTCGTATGGTTCATATGTACAACGGTATTGGGTGCAAGGAGCTGGAGGGGAATGTTCTACGAGAGTTTAATCTTGATGAGGAGCGTTACCGTGTATATTTAAGCTATTGGCCACCAACAAGTTTTGAAATTGCTACGGGATAAGAACTCCCCCGGTTTTGATAACTAACAGTGGGGCTGTGAAGTATTTCTGTCAACATCAAAAAGTGAAAGGCGGGATGAATTTTTTTGCGAAGTTTGAACTGAAGACAGAGAACATGGACAACGTAGTTGTGGACGACTCCGGGATGGGATTTGTGTCACCAGAAGCGGCGAGATTTCGGTGCCAGAAGGACTTGGGTTGTGGTTCCTCAGAGAAGGGGTTTGTGTCATCAGCTGGTTCAAAGACCAGAGTAGTCGACATTGACGAGGACGAAGATTTTGTGCGGGGAGTAGAGAGTGTAGAGGAGAGAATCATGAGTGAAAGTGTGAAAGGGGATAGTAGCAAAGTCGAGGATGATAGTGGTTGTAGTCTAGGAACAGATGAAGAAGTGAACTTTGAGATGGACGAGATTTCGCTGAGGCCAAGAGGTTATGATAAGGAGTTTTGGAAACCCTTACTAGTTGGTGATTTTGGAGGTTCTGATGCTGTGAATGTTGTTTACAATGAGGATGAGATTGTTGAGGGTATGACCAAGAAGAGAGGCGCACGGAGTTATTTCTGTGACACACAAAGTTGTTTTGACCACTATGTTGAGGTCGGTGGAGGAGAAGAGAAAGCCAAATTTGAGAAAACGGAGGCTTCTAATCCTTGGATGGGAGGTGGTAGTGAGCAAGCATGAGATTTAAACAGGAGTGTGCCAAAAAGAAGACTTGAGGATATCGATAATGAGGAGTTTGATATACCACCGTTGTTTGATGATACAGAATTTGATGCAACTGAAATCCCTGATATGGATGTGGATGAGTGTGACGGTAGGATAGAATTAGGGAAGGTGTTTGGAAGCAAAGAGGATTGTCAGATTGCTTTAGCTATATATGCGATAAAGCAGCAGTTCAAATTCAAACAGACACGGACGAAAATAAATTCTTTTGTTGTTGAGTGTCCGGACAGCAGATGTGATTGGCGAGTAACTGCACATGAAGTAAGGGGCTGTGGGTACTATGAGATAAGGAAGGCACAACTTGATCATAGCTGTCCCATAGAGTTTAGGAATGGATACAAGAGCAAAGCTACATCTCGTGTGATAGCTGCTGTTTATAAGGCAAAGTTTGGAGACACAAGTAAGCCGCCTGTTGCTAGGGATTTGCAAAGACTTGTTCTAGAGGATCTGCGGGTGGACGCCTCGTACATGAAATGCTATAGGGCGAAGGAGAAAGCTGTTTTGGGGTTGCGTGGTTCTGATGAGGACTCTTACTTAAAGCTGCCGGAGTATTTGCATATGTTGAAGGTTGCAAATCCTGGGACAATAGCTGATTTGGAAACTGATGTGGATGAAGACGGGGACAAACGTTTTCTATATTTGTTTCTAGCTTTTGGTGCTTCAATAAGTGGGTTTAGGAAGCTGAGACATGTTTTGGTGGTTGATGGAACACACCTTAGTGGCAAGTACAAAGGTGTGTTGTTGACTGCTAGTGGACAGGATGCTAATTTCCAAATTTTCCCACTTGCATTTGCAGTTGTGGACAGTGAAGATGAGGATGCTTGGACCTGGTTTCTTCAGAAAGTAGAGAGGATTCTTGGGGACTCTCCTTCTCTGGCGATTATTTCAGACAGGGCTGTGTGCATATCTAATGCAGTTAGCAAGATTTATCCTCAGGCCAAGCATGGGGCTTGCATTGTTCATCTTGCTAGGAATGTTAANCACTTGCATTTGCAGTTGTGGACAGTGAAGATGAGGATGCTTGGACCTGGTTTCTTCAGAAAGTAGAGAGGATTCTTGGGGACTCTCCTTCTCTGGCGATTATTTCAGACAGGGCTGTGTGCATATCTAATGCAGTTAGCAAGATTTATCCTCAGGCCAAGCATGGGGCTTGCATTGTTCATCTTGCTAGGAATGTTAACTCTAGGTTTTCAAGCAAGAACTTAGCAAAGATGGTTACAGCCGCTGCAATGGCCCATAGTCCCGGGGTGTTTAAAGATCTTTACGGAAAGATTAGGGCTGGTAACAGTGCATGTGGTATCTATTTGGGTAAAATAGGTGTTGCTCGGTGGTCTAGAGCAAATTTCCCAGGTGATATGTATAACATTATGACTAGCAATATTGCTGAACAACTTAACAAGGCGTTACTGGAAGGTAGGGGAGCTGCTATAGTGGAGTTGGTAACTTTCATACAAAGGATGATGACCAGATGGTTATGTGCCAGAAGGAAGAAAGCACAGAAACACAGAGGTTTGGTGAGCTTGGAAGTTGACAAACAGATGACGAAGAACATGGCAACTGTTAAAGGAAGCAAGATTAATGCAGTTGATGGCTGGACCAGTCAGATTTTGGGGAAGTTCGGTAAATCAGACAAAGTGATGCTAGGAGAGAGAAAGTGTAGCTGCAAATATTTTGATAATATCAAAATTCCTTGTGGTCATGCTATGATTGCAGCTGACAGGGTCGGTGTGCCTTACGACACATTGTGTGGGCATTGGTACAAAACGGCAGTGTGGAGGGAGACATATGCAGGCGTTATCAGCCCCCACGATGATGCAAGGGATGTTGATATACCGGAAAAAGTCAGCAGTATGGTTTTGTACCCTCCCAATACGAAGAGACAATCAGGGAGACGCCGCAAAACACGCATACCATCGACATGGGAGATAAGGGTGAGTTGTAATAAACATATTAAGTGTCCTAATTTGGGGTAAACTGACTTGTGATTGTTGTTGTTGAAGGCACCGAAGAAAAAGCTTACTAAGAACAGATGTGGTAGGTGCAGGGGTGAAGGACACAATAGGACGAACTGCGCAGTGCCCATCTAAGGTGGTGGAAGGAGTAGTTCTTTTGGATTCGAATTGAAGAGAAGAACATTTTGTGGGTTCAAGACAATTTAATTGGAATCCAGTTTTTGTTTTAATGTTCACGGAATGTTGTTGTTTTTATTATTTTTGGGAACTCTTTAAGTGCAACTAAATCATGGCCTTCTTTTGGTTGTTCTTGGTTAGACAAATGGCAGAGTCTTTGTGGTTTCATATGGATATTTTGTTGGTTAGGAAAAACGCATGACTTCAGATTAGTTTATTTTGTTGTATTCAATATGTGGATGTGGACACCGCATGTAGTCTGCAATTGTTGGTTTTGAAAATAATCAATATTTTGATGTGGACAATTTTGATACAGAGCAATATTTGATACAAATTGTTGTTAAGGAGTAGAGTAGCTTAGTTTTTGATAACAAATAGACATGATGATATGATATTCATCATAAAAAGAGCGAAGACATATCATCAGAACTTTACATAAGTTCTATAACCCATATCATAAGGAAGTCATAAGGTCTGCATCATAGCATAAGTGACGGCATATTACAAGGAAGACAAATATTAAAGGAAACCGTAGGTAAAATATGGTGATGACTGTAGAGATCCTCCACAGAATAATCAAGTGCTTGTTTTTGCATACAACCATGCCATGGTTCCTAGAGCAATAGCAGCAGCAGCAATGTTGATGAATGGGGACTGTGCTTTGGTAATAAAAGACCCATTATTGAGTGACTCCAAAGTTGCATCAACTACTGCAGTGTCGTTGTCTTGAGTGGAGTATCTCCTGAATTCAGAAAGCTGGAGTGTTTGGTTTTGGATAATTCTTTTCATCTCCAGCAAGGAGTCCTCAACGTATTTAGCCTGCTCTTGAAGATGAAGTGTGGTAGTGTTCTTGAAAGATTGGACATCTTCGTGAAGCTGACTTTGTTTTGAATCAACTAGTCTAATTTCGTCGATAATAGCCTCGTCTATCCATTTGAACAAATGGTGTTCAGATTATCTCTGACCGTTAATTTAGCCCAACAAATATGTAAGTGTTATGAGTTGTTTGAAAGTGTTAAAATTGGAAAACAAAGTCTATGTAGTTACCTTGACGCCAATTTCACATCTGTAGAAACGGCGGAAGAGGTTTTCTTTTGTCTTCGCACCAAAGGTAGTCAGATTTGACCCACACCAACATCGATTAGGAATGTCAACTGTTGCTCTGCGTCTTTGAGAATTTGACGACGAACTACCGGAGCTCATGGTGAGGTTTGGTTTCGTGTTGGTTTGAGAATGAGATGAAGAAAGGGGGTGCGGTCCGAAATCAAATCGATTTAGGGTTTTTTGGGTTGAATTGTAAAAGAAAAACGAAGAAATGTGGTGAGGTCCGCCGTATTTCTCTGAGGTTTGAGAAAATAATTTATTATATTAAAAAATATTTTTTTACTGTGGTGCGGAAACGGTTGGAAAATTCGAAATTTGAAAAGCAAAAATCTCAATTGTGGACGTGGATGAAGATAAGCAAGTTAATTTCAGATTACCAAAATCGCAGCGTCTCTTGGTTTTGGATAACCACACACTAATCACTTCAGGAATCAGGGTCCTCATTTGTGGGGGTGATCATCTGACTAACCGGAGGAAGGTGATTAGTATTGTAGCGGCTCTTGCTTGAGCATAACCACAAACCACTAACTTCAAACGTGGACGTGGACGGACCCATTTTTTTGGGTTTAGGATAACCACAAACTAATTACTTCAATAACAACAAAGTAATAACCACAATAGATTAGGATATAGCCACTAACGTGGGACAGAGTAGAAGAGTTTAAAATCAGTGATAGACATAGAAGAAGGCCATTTGTTACACAAAAGGTGGCCATTTTTTGAAGAAAACATANAGTGTTGTTGTAGAGGTCAGGTATGCGTCGCCAGACAAACTTTTTGAGTCCAGAAAACTGAGTAAGCTCACACATTGCAACTTTCCTTACGAGATACGGGAGTATGGTTACCAATGGTTGCATGAACCGCTCAACACGAGTGTCTGCATACAAAGCCGGAATAGGATCGAGGATTTCAACTAACCCCAAATCAAGGTTGTTGTTCCAAAGCATCGGAGTGTAGATGGTGTGAATATCGTGCATCCATTTCTTCCCTTCCTGGAGAACAATGTCAGCAAGACGCTCATCCCAGACAAATGTTGATCTCTTTCTGCAGGGGCCAAAAACAGACCAACTGTCATAGATGTAAGAAGCTAGGAGTGGTGTGGTGAATGCTGATTTTTCCCTGAGAAGATGTGTTGAATGTCTCCCAGCGAGCATGTATATTAGAATTTCCATGTGCTGAAACAATACAAAAGCATGATTATTAGAAAAGTAAGCTGTTGAAGGTATGATACATTAGGAAGAGAAGAATTAAAAGGACATAATTCTTACGTGGCTAGTTGTCCATTGCTGTGGTTTAGCGAGATCGATAAGAAATTTGTTGGAGAATTCAAACTCAGATAGGGTGGTGTGGTAGCTGTGATATAAAAGAGAATTCAAAGTCAGATGGGGGTGTGATATAACTGTGACATAAGTGGAAAAGGGGTGTGGTGCACATGAGTTAACTTACACGTTGCTCCTAGTTTTGATTGTGTTGCAGAAAAGATCCCACTTGAGAGATGGAAGTGGTGAGATGAGTGCAATCGCATGGATTAATGGCGATCTGGATAATTCATTAGAAAGATGGATCTCCTCCAAAGATAGAACGTGCCTCTCCATGTCTTTTGTCTCCGTTAGGTCAACAACTTCATCAGTATTTGGTTCAACTCCTTCAGTTTTTTGTTCCTAAAAGTATGAACATAATATATAAAAGGGTCAAAGAGGGAGTAGGAAAGCACTATGATGTTGAGGGAGAGTGTATTGTGGTTTTGTACCTTATGAGGTGGAGTGTTGGAGGAGGCTGTAGCTGTGAACGCATTAACGGTAGCAGCATGACCAGCGAAGCCCGACAAACTGTCTATGCTCTTAGTGGGTGATGTAAGCAGTGTTGTAGGCTGCGGTGACAATATTAAGCAATTGCGTGGAGGAGAGGATGGAGGAATAGATGAATCAAATATTGGTTGAGGAGAGGATGGAGGAATAGATGAATCAAAGATTGGTGGGTCTGGATTGACCGCATCATAAATCCTCACACCATGATAGAGGATGTGATTAATCTCGGGGCTGTTGGGGTGATCACTTTGATCGTAGATGGCGGATTTGAGTTCAGACCAAGGAGGTTGCACGCTGACTGGCGTAAGAGGTGGCTCGTCATAGGAATATGTGTCCTCATTGGTGGAGGGGGATCGTCTGACTAACCGGAGGTGGGTGATGTATGGTTTGTGGATCAACAGGGGAGTGGTGACCACTATCTTCCTTGTGGTCCGGAGATCTGTGCACAGTTAGATTGTGGATGCCTTCCTTGTGGTCGGGAGAAATGTGGACACTTATATTATTGTGGTTAGGTGAAACGTGGACACTCTGTGACTGGATGCAGGGATCGCTCAGAAGGGGATCAGCTGTAGCATCACGATGTAATTGAGCTTCGTATTGACTGATGACAGGGGAGCACGTTTGAGGAAACTCATCTGTCTCCATTCCGCCATCCTGAATAAAAAAAGATATAGCAAGCTTTTTAGTTAAAATCAAGAGTACATCCTGAATAAACCATTATATGATTTTTTGGAAAGTATTGAAAAAGTCAATTCACCTGATTATGAAGGCCATCGGTGTTGGGTGGTGTTGATTCAGGCTTGTGGGGAGTTGTTTTGGACTTCTTGCGACGGGGAAGCATGGAGTAATGAAAAGATGATTGCCTATGATGAGAACGTTTCTTCCTACGTTTCATCTCCCGGCGGAGCTGCTTAATTTCCATTGAAAGCTGGATCACAATCTCCGTAAGTTGAACATTTGTAAAGCTGTGGACGCTTGAACGCGTAAAGTAGGAACTTATACGCCTTTGATTCGATGAAGATGGTTGTTTTGGTTTCAAAGATTGCTTAATAGGAGGAGACTTCTTCTTAACCCGGACCCTTTTCTTTGGCTCCTGGATGAGAGGCTCAGATGTAACCCCACCATGCCACATTTGTTTGTTGAAGGAATGTTCATCAGCTATCAGTTGTTCCAAGTAGATAACACTGTCATCCTTGTCATCGTCATCCCACACTCCCCATCCTGGTTGTGCCTGACTTTCGATGGGTATAATAGGCGTGACTACCAACTGAGAAAAATTACAAACAACTTAGTTTTATAAAATAATTATTCTTAGTAACTAGTGCTGAGAACCGCAATTGATATACGGTACTTACATCGGGGTCGAACTCCACGCGGCGGATGTCGATGGAATTGATTGAGGGGTGTTGTGGTAGATGACAATCTTCTAAGTCCATCACTGTAAGATTGTTTAATGGGGCTGGTATATAATCCAAAAGCTGTGGGATCGCACGAAATGCAACCAACTGAAGTGAGAGCGGGAAGCCTTGTAATCTGAAACTGCGCTGCTTGAGCTTCTTAACAAGTGTACCAACAGGATCTTCACATTTTTTGGGGACAAACTTTGGTGGTTTCATGCATGAAATGGTCTTGAGGAAAGACTCTCTACCCCAAGGAAAAGAAAAGAATGTTCCGAGGTTTTCAACCATCCTAACATAACGAGGAGTAGGACGTGGTTCTTGTTTGTGAGCAATAAGAACACCGTCGACTATGATAATCAGAGCGATCTGTATCTTCTTCCACCCATCCATGTTTCTGTCGCTATCGAGCATCGTACATAGTTCAGCAACCGTGACAACTTTTTTCTTCCCAAAAAGTCTCTTCCATACTCTGTCTTTCCCGGCAACAATTGCTTTACCGGTGTTGGGCTTGTATCCTCCCGGGAAGGAACCGCAAGGGAGACCGGTAACGGTGCCAAATTCCTCAAGACCATATCGTAAAGGAGAACCACCAAATACAGACCAAAGAGTATTCTTGGGAAGACACAATAGCTGACGAGTGAGAAACGAGTGAATCAGCTTACAAGACACTGGGCATTGACGAGCAGGGAGGTCGATGAGCTTCCCGAAACAGGACTGACGGATGGTTTGAAACTCAGGCGTGTCTCGGAGGACGTTGCGGATAAATGGGAGAAGATCCGGGGAGGAGTAAATGTTGAGACACTTGGTGGGGAACCTGTCTTTAGCGAAAAGTCTAGGAGGTAGACGGATGTCGGCTAAAGAAGTACCTACATTTGAAATCGCCGATGAGTATTGAATCTAGAAAGTAAACTAAGAACGGTTTTGAAATGAAAAGTGAGTGTAGAGTAGAGTACGAAATACCTCCGATTTCGTTTTGTGGTGGCATTTGCTCCTCGAGTTTCTTCACTTTCTTCTTGATCTTCGGTTTCCTCATGTTTCGCGGCGGTGATTAAGAGACAGAGAGGATGTAAGCAGAGAGGCGGAGAGTTTGGGGCGGAGATGATGACAGAAATTAGGGTTGGGGATTGGGGGAAAATAGATCTAGTTTCGAAATGTAAATCTGTGTTTTTTTTTAATTGACAGAAACACATGTGGTTAAAGGGAACTGTGGTTAGGTTAAGAATAAGGGCATCTATGACATTGTGACCAAATAAAGTGTGTGAGATGGGGAAATTGTCCCAAACCGTAAAAGAAAAGACATAATGTGTTCTAGAAAGTAAATTTTTCTAATAGATATTGCAAGTTTAACTATGACATGCGACCTAATATAATACAAATACAAACCTAGGTCAAATTAAAATCAAGTATGGCCAAACAAACAATGATTTTCCACATGCATACCAAAATTTTAGATATTATTAGTCATTGTATACGCCATAGAAACTAGGAGATGAAAGAAACATTACGCTTTACCAGATTTCATGTTAACTTGATCCACCCTCCCGTAAATTCTGAATAATCTTCCCAATTATGACTCGTTAGTACAGTACCCGTTGTTCCTGACGAACACCAACACCAGCTTCATCTTTGGAGAAGAAATCTAAAACCGCAACTTCTAACAATTTAATACATGAATTCAAACATGTACACGAAATCACAACGTCAATTAATAAGAGTATGCATACAATCATTGACCCATTGATAGAAAAGAGTTACCCAAGAGTTGTTGGTTAGACTCCTCTACTGCAGGTCGACGAAAAAGAGAACTTCATAAGCATCATTGAACCCCAAACTGCTATCGCCAGAACTCCATCAGTTGAGTTGGTGAGATCGATTCTCTATCACCATCATCATTCTCTGTAGTGTTTTTCTTTCAGGTGCTGAGAAATAAAGTTGAAATGGTCGTGGATCCAAACTAGCTCGCGGAACAAATTAGGCCTGGTACGTGAAATCCAAATTCACATAGATTTAATCCGTGAAACCCGCTAAATAATGGGCCTCTTTTTACCCTGACCAAACCCATCCCGCTATAGTACTTATTGGGCCAGGTAGGTGGTTCAGGTCTCTTTTGCCATCTCTACTACTAATCAATAACAATTCTGGTCTGCCCTTATTTGCAGTTGCATAGTTAACATTTCAGACTTACCGATTGATTGGCTAAACCACCGGTTAACTAAACAATCAAACCGTTCTCTTTTTCCAAGAAAAAAAAAACTTCAAAAAAAAAAACAAATCCCTGCTCCTTTTTCTCGCTCGCCGTCGTATCCAGCCGTCATCGCCGGCGTCTTCGCGCGTGAAATGGCGACCTCTTTTCTTCGTAGAAGCTTGAACTCAAGTCGCTTCCGCTTCATCTCTACATCCTCCTCGTCTTCTTCTTCTTCCTCACATCGCCGCGTTGTTGTCACTGGTCTCCGTCTCCTTCAAAATCTTCCATATGCTTTTTATACCTGCAAAATCCTCTGACTTAACTTTGTTCCTGCAGGTCTAGGGATGGTGACTCCACTTGGACGAGGCGTTGAGACAACATGGAGGCGTTTGATTGGTGGAGAATCCGGGATTAGAGGACTGACACCTGATGACCTCAAGATGAGTTCGTTTGATGAAGAGACAAAGTTGTATACTTTTGATCAGCTTTCCTCCAAAGTTGCCGCCTTTGTGCCACATGGAACAAACCCAGGTGAATTTGATGAAGGTCTTTGGCTAAACTCCAAGGTATCTTTCTTCTTTTATGCTTCTCTAATAAACTGGCTTTGAAGGTTATTAGGACAGAGTTACTGGCAACTCAGTCAAGTTTCATGTCAGAACATTAAGTTTTTCGATTATGCTGTGTTGTTTTGTTTGGAGCATAGCTTGTTTTTTTTTTTTTGGAAGCTTCATGTGGTTTGTCAGATGTATTTATATATTTAAAGGTTGTGTTATAATGCAATTTTTGGATCCTGGAGGCAATTGCAAAGTTCATTGGATATGCTTTATGTGCTGCTGATGAAGCCTTGAGGGATGCTGACTGGTTACCAACAGAAGAGGAAGAAAAAGAAAGAACAGTTAAGTATGATTTACATCTCCCATCTTTTTTCTTGGTTTGATTTCTTATAGTTTTGGAAATTTGGGATACCAGGGAGTCTCTATTGGTGGTGGAATTGGAAGTATAAGTGACATTGTAGAGGCAGCGCAGATGATTTGTGAAAAGGTTAAGACATTTCTGTTATCTTTGCATCCCAGTAGCTTGTAAGACTTAACGATTATGGTGATGCAGAGGCTGCGGCGGCTTAGTCCCTTTTTTATCCCAAAAATATTGGTGAACATGGCATCTGGTCATGTGAGCATGAAATATGGATTCCAGGTGTGTTCGAAATTTTGAAACAGGAGTTCTAATTCTGTAGCTTCAAAACTGACAAGTTGTTGTGATAATGGGATTTAAATATACTACGTTTTGAGTCTAGAATAGTTCTCCGATGTTCTTAAGTAGAAAACAGTTTGCATAGCCTTGCAATGCTTTTGAATATAGGGGCCAAACCATGCTGCTGTGACAGCTTGCGCAACTGGTGCCCACTCTATAGGCGATGCCACTAGGATGATTCAGTTTGGAGATGCAGATGTTATGGTAGCAGGTGGAACTGAGTCCAGCATTGATGCTCTCTCCGTTGCTGGATTCTCTAGGTCATTAAACTAACACGCTTTGTGTGCTTCCATTATAAAGTCTCTTGCTTAAATGGGAATTTGTAAATTACTATTATCTTTTCTCTGTCCAGATCAAGAGCTCTGTCAACTAAGTTCAATTCTTCACCACAAGAAGCTTCACGGCCTTTCGATTGTGGCCGGGATGGTTTTGTGTGAGTTATATTCTTAGTTGCTTATTTGAATTAATCTGTTTTGGGGACGTTGTGGCCATACCTTTTATATTTTGTTGCAGGATAGGGGAAGGCTCAGGGGTTATAGTATTGGAGGTGAGCCTCTAACTCACCCTTCTGCTGTTTACTTGGTTTTAGTCTGAAGATCTTTTCTGATTTCTTGTTATAACAATAGGAACTTGAGCATGCAAAAAGACGTGGAGCAAAAATTTATGCTGAGCTTTGTGGATATGGGATGTCAGGTTAAAGCTCAAAGATTACAGTAAAAACAAAGTTTGCTATTCCATAGATAATACTAAAATACACATTTTGAGTTTCATAAGAATGAATCTTCTTGGCATATAGGCGATGCACACCATATTACTCAACCTCCTGAAGATGGAAAAGGAGCTGTGTTGGCCATGACACGTGCTTTAAGACAGGTAAGCTCCATAGCTACTCCTAAAATGGTTTCTGTTGATCATTTATGTTTGTTTTTATCGGTTTGAATTCTAGTGATTTGGCTTTACTGTCCATGACTTTTCAGTCTGGTTTATGTCCAAATGAAGTTGATTATGTAAACGCACACGCAACGTCTACCCCAATAGGTAAAAAGATAAGAGATTTGTTTGTCGACTCTCTTTAGTATTACAACTCAATTAATAACTCTGCATCCAATTTCTAGGCGATGCTGTGGAAGCAAGGGCTATCAAGACCGTATTCTCTGATCACGCCACTTCAGGCACATTTGCTTTCTCTTCCACCAAGGTAAAAAAAAAATTGCCTGATGATGTTACTGTAGAGTTTTACTTATTGTATTAAGTAGTAGCTATGTGTCTGCAATTAAATAAGAGTTTGATTGGTTTGACTTAAGGGCGCTACTGGTCATCTTCTCGGAGCAGCTGGAGCTGTAGAAGCTATTTTCAGCATTCTTGCTATCCACTACGTAAGTTAACTCATTTCATGTGTTCTTGTTTAATGATTGAAGGTTTGTATACTAACCAGTAAATAAATTTGTAGGGAGTTGCTCCTCTAACGCTGAATGTCAAGAATCCGGATCCCATCTTCAACAAGAGTTTCATGCCTTTAACCACTTCGAAAGAAATGCTAATTAAGACCGCAATGTCGAATTCTTTTGGCTTTGGTGGAACAAATGCATCTTTGCTCTTTGCCTCAATCTAAAGTCAGTGTAAACAGCATGGCAAAAGTTTTGTACCATCTTTTTTCAGTTGAATAGAATATTTGTTTTCTTTTTCATTTCTCCTTGTTAACTTACATTAGTTGATAAAGATATTTCAAATCACTAAAGCTTGCAAAATCCTCTGTGAAGTCTTTCAAGAATATTTTGACCTGAATCCTTCTGTAAGAGGAATAACTTTTGCGGATACTTTTGACTGCAACTTGAGCACAGCTTCGCGAATTTCCTGCCCATTGCAACCACAAGTATATGATGAAATACATGGCGATGGGAGAAAAAAAAACTACACTAAGAACATGGAAGTCCAATGAGACTATCACCTCTATATTGTAACGAGATGAGAAATGCGTTAATAACACAGTTTTGCTCCGGATCCACTTTGCATTCTCAATTATCTGCAAATCATTGGAGTAAGTTTCTTTTCACGGTGTAGTTCTACGGATGTTTGAACATAAATAGGATTTTTGATCATACCTGAGATATATGAGTGTGACCAAGTGACTGCGCATGCTCAGTGCTAAAACTTTCATCCAAGAACGTAGCCTGCCCAAATATATTATTAAGCTCAGAAGCTATAGTGACTAAAGTCGTCAAGTATGATGCAAATAGGATTTGAAGTAAGTAACACCTCGGTTATAAGAACTTTAGCCCTCAAAGCATCAGCGTTACGAGGGTCAAGCATATATTCCGCAGTTGTATCTCCAGTGAAAGCTATCTCAGGGGATAATATCATATCTGTAATCTGTAATTACGTTTAACATAATGTATTTTTTTCCCCTTTTCTAACATGAATTGGCAATATGGCTTTTCATTAGCAACAAACCTCGACGCCAGATTTTTTAATCTTTTCAATCTGTTTGCCTTTAAGGTGACCATACTGCTTCTTCAACTTGTTCCTGACCGAGTAGATAACATAGCCCTGAGAGAAAGCCATTAGACCATTAGAAAGAAGCAGACACTCTACATTGTCCCTGAGACATGTAGTAATAGTACTCAGTGTTCTAAATATCTCTGTCTAGTCGGCAAATCGGATATGAGCAACCAAAATGATTTTTTAAAAGATCGGTCTAGGCGTTCAAAAAAGCAACCTAGGCGTCTGGCTAAACAAAAATAATCCTCTATAAGACGCCTAACCACCTAGCGATTTTTAGAACAATGGACTAGTACCTGACTCGGTATGACGTGGTGAGTTGCAAATGGTCTAACAACAATGTCATTGCGCAACTCATATGTTTCACCTGCTCGAACCAAAAATAGAACTCATGTTTTTCAACATTAAAATAGAAAACTGGTAAAAGATCTTTTCATACCAACGTTGAGTGGAATGAGTTCCACATTCAGCTCAACTTGACCCATAGTCCTGTGAATCTCAAGTAGTTTCTCAACATCATCTTTAATAGACGGTGGCACAAATATCTTAGGTGGCTCAAGATTATATAAACCACGGCTAGCTACATACATAGGTAACCCGCCCTGACAAAAAACAACAATAATCATCATCAAAACCTTATCCACTCAAACAAAACCGAACCACTTGAAAAGAACTCACGATGTGATCAAGATGGGCGTGAGTGATGAAAAGGAACTTCTGCTGGATAGCGCGTGAAGGACACCTTCCGATATCGAAGACGCATTTGAGCTCAGGGACGATGACGCAAGTCTCGTGGCCGCCGACGGAGACGCCCTCGATTGCGTAACCGTCTAACTCGACGCCTTTGCGGTTCACGGCGGCGCGTGCCTTTCGGTACTCTTCTTCCTCCTCGATGGCTCGGCTGATGGAGGAGAAGTAGCCGGAGACTCTGAGGGGGGTCACGGAACTGGCGCGGTGGTTGTGTGTCTGGGAGGAGAAGTGGTGAATCTGTGGAGGGCCGTGTGGATTGGGGGAAGGGAAGATTGGTGAGAACTTGGGAGGCGCTAATGGAACCGAAAGCTGCATTTTTTCGTGTGTATTGGATAAAAAGGTTTTGCGGAGGTTTGGGAGAGAAATGAGGGAAAACGAAAGAACAAAAAAATACTCTTCCATAATATTATTTGTTTTAGAAAAAAAACTTTTTAAAAAGATTCATTTTTCACATTTTAAGATATATTTTTCAAATAATAATAATTAATTACTGTTTCCAAAAATATTAATTGCATTTATTGAATTTTCATTGGTTTAGATTTTATAGTAAAATGATAATCACAAAAAACTATGCATTTATTAAAGAGCAAATCTTCAAAATAACACATTTTTAGTTTATGTCACAAAAATAGCCTTCAAAAATTAAAATGATCAAAATAATATTTTATCTTTTGAATTTTTTTAATTTTTTATATTTCGAAAATTGAAATCTTATCCCCAAAACCTCACTCCCCAACTCTAAACCTTAAAACCTAAATTCTAAACTCTATACCCTAAATCCTAAACTCTAAATCCCACCCCTTAATCTTAATCCCTAGTGTCTAAGGTGATGATTGTTTGCCTAGTTTTTAGATTTTGGATTTTGGTTTTTAGCTTTTAGTTTTTGGTTTTTGAATTTTAGATTTTAGTTTTTGGTTTTTGATTTTGTAGTAGATTTTAGTTTTTGAAAAAACATGAATGGTGATTTTAGATTTTGGTTTTTACCTTTTGATTTTTACTTTTAAAATAATAAACGAAAATATAATTAAAATAAGATACTTATTCTGGAATTAATAAAGTATACAATATAATTACCAAACACAAAAGCTTATTTGAAAAAATAAACACAAAATAGTATTTGACAAAAAAACACAAAATAGTATAATTTTATCTTTAAATATAAATATAAAAAATTATATTATATTTTTAAAATATTTTTTTATATATCTATATACTTTATATTATAAACTTGTACATATAATATATATAGATATAAAATAAAATTTAAAGTAAAATGTGTAAGCATATTTTTTAATAAAATTTGCCATAAATATAATCTATATATATATTCATTAATGGTTAACTACATAAAATTAATTCTGTGTGTACAATTTCAATATATATGCGTTGATTGTTTTTGTAAAATTAGAATTAAATTACTGTAGATAAATAATATATACAAATTTAAATTAAAATGTAAAGAAAAGTTAACAAGTATTTCTAAAATTGCAGCAGCTATAAGTCTACACATATGGTATATTACATAATATATATATATATATAGTGAAGACATAATTAATTCCAATTGCTTAGAAAAGGTAATATTATTTTACGTTTGTTGTGTGTGGGATGTGTAAGTTTATATACTACATTATTTATCTAAATTTATTAATATTTTAAAAAGTAATAAAACATTTTTTGGTTTTTGACGTAGCAAAATACCAAAATCTAAGGAGAAACCAAGAAAAATGAGTTTCTGGTTTTTATGTAGAAAAGAGTAAAGTGAATCAAAAACTGGTTTCCCTAAAAAATAGGAAATCTACTTTACCAAAATCTTGATTGGTTAGAAAATGGATTTTGGAGAATCAAAAACTAAAAACTAGTTTAAAAACTGAAAACAATCAACCTCTAAATTAATTTATCATTAGGATATAAGTGTATATTTATCTCTTTTGATAAAACATTAAGTGTTATTTTGGTCATTTTTATTCTTAAGTGCTATATATATGACAAAAGCTTTATTAATGTTATTTTAGTCATTTTCTCTTTATTAAACATTTTGATAATATGTGTGAAAAAATAAAATATGTAACACATTAAAGAAGAGGAAGTATTATACCAAACCAAACCAAAATTCTTCAACCCTAACCCAAACTCATATTTAAACTTTTAAATAATATTGATTTTGTAAAGTTTGCGATATTTCAACACTTAATTTTAAAATAGTTATATATTAAATTTTATAAAGGTAACAACGATATTATTCTTTCTAACTTTTAATCTTAATTAATATTTAATTTTAAATTGTTTTATATATTTATTTCAAAATTTTATAATTAAAAAATATTATTTACAAATAACAATATAATATATGTAAAAAATAATTTTTAAAAATATCATATTAATTTATAACCAGTTATTACAACATTTATATATATTATTATTATTATTATTATTATTATTATTATTGATATAAAAATTGTTTGTAACTATATAATAAATTTTGAGAACTTTTTTTGATAATTTTTTTTAGTTTATTTCATAAATATAGTCCTCAAAGAATAAAATGACCAAAATAAGTTTTTATTAAAAAGTAAATATGTATTTATACCATTAAGTTAACTAATCTAGATTTACGGTTTAGAATTAAAATGTGAAATTGTAGATTTAGGATTTCAAATTTTAAAAAAATATAAAAAATAAATATTACAAATTTTCAAATAAAAATGTTATTTTGGTTTTGTTTGTTGAGGGTTATTTTATGACCAAAACTAAAAATGACTATTTGGAAGAATTTAAGAGAATATCTGATAAATTTTACACAAAATTTTATAAGGGTAACAACGAATTAACCAATCTAAGTTTTGATTTGCTTAGTTAATATTTAATTTTAAATTATTTATATTTTATTTATCTTTTATTTTTATTTTTTTTATAAAAAGTATTATTTACCAATAACAACACAATATATATATAAATTAATTTATCGTATTTTCTTAAATATATTTTACTTTTAAAATTTAGCATATTAATTTATAATTAATTATGTAATATAATATATAAATTTAATAATATTAATAAAAAATTCTTATTTAGATGCTTATTATTGCGATAAAATTTTAAAAGTACTAACATATTGAAAATAATATAGAAATATTATTTTTAGATAAATATATATATAAGCATTATCTTATTTTTCAAAAAAATATATCTTTTTATTTTGAAAATTGAATAATATTAATTTATAATCCATTAGCTAAACTAAGATATAATCTAATTTTATTAATATTAAATTCGTATTAATTTTTAATTATAAACAGTTTTATTTCTTAATATTTTATAATAGAAACAAAAATGTTTTCATAACAATGAAATATATATAAGTTCTCTTTTTAAAATAAAATAAATATGTTTTTATTTTAATATTTTATCATATTAATTTATAAGCCATTACTAATATAAGATATAGTCTAATACTATTATTATTAAAAAAATTAATTATATAATAAAGTAAATTACTTAAAACTATGAAGAATGTGACAAATCAGCAAATTTACTAATTTATAATCCATTAGCTAAAATAAGATATAGTCTAATATTATTAATATTAAATTCATATTAATATTCAATTATAAATTGTCTTATATTTTAATCTTTTATAATAGCAGAAAATATTTTTTTAAATAAAAAAACTGATATATTATCATCGTTGACAATAAAAAATTCAAACTTATCAGTGTTGACGATGATAGTTCTCAAAAACTGTTATTTTTTAAGAACATTGTTATTAACATATATTTTCAACGATGATGTTGGAAAGTGTTACAAGAGATAAGTTAAAAACCGTCGTTATTAATGGTTATGTAAGAAATCATCATCTCATCAGTAATATGTTTAAAATTATTATTGTCAATGATGATATATTAATTTAAAAAAATGTATAAAATTTTGATTTTTAAGTTTTCTACTTTTTGTGAATTTTTGTGAACTTTTTAGTTTTCAAAATTTTATTTAATTTTATGAATTTTATTCAGATTTTTTTTAATGTTCTGATTTTTTAAAATTTTCTGTATTTTTATTTAGTTTTTTAATTAAATAATTATTTTTAGAGAAAAACCGACACTTCCTTGTTTTAACTTGTACAACAGGTCAATTTTTTATCTGATGAACAAATAATTCAAGTTGAAAGTTTATTATGATACATATGTTATTTTGAAATTTAAAAATGTTACTTAATTAAAAACATAATTCATCTGTAGAAAAATTAGAAAAGAATAGTGGAGAAGAAATAAAGTATAACTTTTTTTACTAAAGAAAACAGGGAGAACATGCAGAAAACATTAGCAAATTCTTTTTAAATTAAAATCGTAGCAAAAAAAATCCAGATTAACAATGTACACTTGATTTTTAATTTACTTTTTAGTAGGTAATTAATTCCTAATTATCATATTTGAATTATAATAATAAATTAAAATAAAAACAAAATGTAACCAAAAAAAACCTAAACTCACGTGTACATGTAGGTTTTTTTTTTTATAAAGTGTACACGTGGGTATTCATTCACCTAGTACAATACAATCGAAGTGATTAGAGCACCTCCATCAAAGGTTTAGATAGGGGTTCAGACGTTTTTCAACACAAAAATATTAAAATAATTAAATCCTATGAACCTCTTTCTCCTAAAGTTCTCTCTGTTGAACCCCTCTCTCCTAAAGTTTATTGCTGTAGCGCGGACTTCACGACACGTGGCGGCCCACGATTGGTCTATTTTTTTTTAATCAAAAAAGAAAAAAAAAGATTTAATAATAAAAAAGAAAAAGATGAACCCAAAAAGGGGTTCATTAATAGGGATGCTCTTATCACTAATTCAAATAATATTTTCTTTCGCCACACAAGCACTGCTTGGGATTAAATGAGTGATTATTAAAAAAATTATCAAGGTGTGATTACAAAATATGTGTTGAAGCGTGCATAGTTTAGTTAGTTTTAAATAACAAGATTTATATTTAAAAATAAGTTCAGCTGCAAAAATAGTAATATTCCAAGGTATCCCTTATATTAAAAGAGAAACATTTAAAAAATTGTAATCTCAATTTTGTAATAATTAAAAAAAACACCATGCTTAGGTGTCACTCAATTAGGTAGTCAATTACATTCAATTGAAAAATAAGTAGGTCCACATTCGATTTTTATATGTCGCTAGATACATTCCTTGGTCAAATTATATGATATGATGATATGATGATATGATATGATATTTATGATATAAGCATTTATGATTGTTCCCATAGATATAATTACTATTTTATTTTCTTTCCATAAATAAAACCTACAGA